TGATTTTAAAAGGTTGAGACAGCTTTTCTTCTCCTACTGTATTACTTTTCACTTCAAAAAATCTATTGTATCCAAAAACATGAATATATAGCATTCATTTCTGCCATTTCTTTGTGAAGCTTATTGGCAGTCAACATTTACTTTATAATAGGAAATTTCTACATTCTTATGTCTAACATTCCTTTTTAGCAACTTTATAGGATCTTAGCAAAAACATATATGTGGTTGTAAGAAAAGTAAAATAGGAAATGATTGTTGGAAACTCAGAACTAATGCTGCATTTACTACAGCAGTTCTGAGATTTAGGTATTTTATTGATAATAGCAAAATGGATTCTGTTTTAGGATTCTGTTTATATATATATTTATGTAAGATTATGTTTATATAATTATGTTAAATGTTAATTCAAAAAATTTAACATTTTCTATATCATATATAGACCATGATTTCTTTGTTGAAGAAAATTTTATATGTAAAAAGATTACTATTTTTGCACTAAAACAGGGAATCATAGACAACTATACTATCCTCATCAATTTGTATAACTTGGAAAGTAAATAAAATTTCAAAGTTAGTTATACTTTTTATGAACCCATTTTATCAAAATTTTAATTAAATCTGAAGAACAACAGGAAATAACAGAACACTGTCAAATGACATCACAATAATATTAACTGCTTTATTAATTATTATTCATAACACCTGTGTATGATGCATACACATTACAATAAGTGGACAAAGTTTTCAAAACAATTGCAGTTAATTCATAGGACACAAAAAGGGAAAGATAAAAATTGTAATAGTTACTTCTGAAATTTCATTGATTCCTCAATTAAATGTTCAAAATCCCTTACCTAAAGTTTTCATACAAAAATTCATATTTGTACAAGAGGAAGCTTTGGACTTAAAGAAAGATAAATATCTAAATATCTTTTCAAACGCTCGGATTTACAATTCTTCGACTGGAAGGGCTATTTTCCCCGTGGCCAGCAATTATCTGCGCCCTCTGCCTCTGCCCCTGCCCCTGCCTCCCCTGCCGCCACGACCTCTGCCGCCACCACGACCCCGTCCCCTGCCACGTCCTCGCCCGCTATCCATCATGGCTCTGTGCTTTTCAACGAGTGGAGTCAGGGTGCTGCTGCAGAAGATGCACCCTGTAGCGGTCAGCTGGCCATCTCTCAGTTTAGTTGAACCCTTTGGAGAAAATAGATTATATATTCAGGTTTTCTAACACACTCCTTGCTTAGTGTCTTTCATTATCTGCTATTGGGAAACCTTATTAATTACAGGACAGTTTCTTGAACATTGTAAATTTCACTAGTCATCCCTACCTCTTTGTAGTCCACTGTAACAATTTGTGAACCACAGTCTTCACAAGTGTCGCTGAGAACCTGCACTTTACTGGCCTTTTGGAAGATGTTAATGATAACATCACATCTGCAAAATTGAAACATAAACATTGATTTAGATTGAAAATTACACAATTCTCTGTATAAATACATGCAGAATGAAGACCTTAATCTATATGACCAACATAAAGCATAAATAAGCTTATGGGAAAATTCTCAATTTTTTTTTTTTATCATCAAAGTATATCACCTTAATATTTCTGTAACAATTTTCAGTGACATTAAACATTATTTTTCACTAAAAGAGAGAGAGTGAGTGTGAGTGTGTGTGTGTGAGTGTGTGTGTGTGAGTGTGTGTGTGTGTGAGTGTGTGTGTGTGAGTGTGTGTGTGTGAGTGTGTGTGTGTGAGTGTGTGTGTGTGTGTGTGTGTGTGTGAGTGTGTGTGTGTGAGTGTGTGAGAGAGAGAGAGAGAGAGAGAGAGTGTGTGTGTGTGTGTGTGTGTGTGTGTGTGTGTGTGTGTGTGTGTGTGTGTGTGTGTGTGTGTGTGTGTGTGTGTGTGTGTGTGTGTGTGTGTGTGTGTGTGTGTGTGTGTGTGTGTGTGTGTGTGTGTGTGTGTGTGTGTGTGTGTGAAATGTTTCTTTCAGAGAATCCATACATATCTTAACCTGAAGAAAAAAGAAATTAATTAAATATGTAAAGCATTCCTGCCACACT